TCTTCTTCTTTGATTCTCAGCCACCGCTCGGCAAACAGTTGATAGCATTGAGCGCTTATGTCTCCGGATATAACGGCCAACACGTGTTCACAAATATCGGCGAAAGTAAGTGATTATCTGTTGTGACAATTGGTTGATAACTAATAACACGTGAAAACACAGAATACGAATCGGATGTACCGCTGAAGGCGTTGCGATTTGTTCCCACACTCTTTGGCTCATTCATTGTTCCAACGGTTTATCACTTAATTGTTGAAATGGGTTTAACTCACAGAACGGCTACTTTGGCCGCACTTCTAATCATTTTGGGTCTGTTTTGTCATTAATAAACATCTGATGGAAGACTAATCTCATGATATTTTTATTTATGTGACAGACAATGCATTGTTAACTCAATCGCGTTTTATATTAATGGAAACGATTCTCATATTCTTCTCATTGTTTGGTATTTTATCATTTGTTATCTCCACAAAAAAGCCCACATTTAGTGTTGGATGGATCTCTTGGCTCATCATCTCATCCCTGTTCATCACTTTTGGCTTTTGTGTCAAATATATTGGAATATTCTCTCTATTTCTCATACATTTTGTTATATTCTGTGATTTTTGGACAAAACTCGCCAATAAATCCATCAAAACTGTAATTTTGTTCTTTGTCTCAAATATCATGAAAACTAATTCTTTACTGCATTTGCTTTCAGTTATACCTTTGGTTGGAATTTGTGTTTTATATCTTCAACTTTATTATTCTTCCGATTCTTATTTATACCACAGTTTTTTACATACATCTATCAATGCTCACTAACGCCGGGCCTCACGACAACATAATGACCAGCGCTTTTCAGGCCAGTCTTGAGGTATTGTCATTGGAATACTTATAACATGTTTGAAATACTAAAAGATAATTGACTCGTAAAGGGAGGGTTAGCCTCTATAACGAAAGGACAGCCCCTGGAAATAGCACATGGATCACAGATCACTCTTAGACACACTCACGGCAGGGCCTGTTGGATGCACTCACATCAGGCGTTATACCCCGTTAGATATTCGGATAATAGGGGCAGTTCTCATCAGCAACAGGTCACCTGTTATTCGTTCAAAGATGTGAATAACTGGTGGATCGTTAAGAAACCCGAAATGTAAGATGTTTTACGAATTTTAAAATGTATTTATCATTTTTTCCTTGAATATAGCAATGATTTGGTTATATCTGAACCAATCGATCGAATCAAAGACGGAGATTATGTACAACTAATCCACGGCATGAGTGGTCGAGCGCTCAACAGTCACGACGTGGCGGCGCCGGTGTCTCCGCAGAATCAAGAGGTTTCCTGTTATATTGATTACAACATATCAATGCCGGCGCAGAATCTCTGGAAAATAAAACTTTTGAATAGCGATGAAACGAACGGTTTCTGGCATACCATCAGCTCAAGAGTTCAGTTCATTCACGTCAACACATCTCAAGCTCTAAAAGTTGGTCCATTTGGCAATGAATGTGGTCTAAGTTTGTTTGTTTGTAACGTTGTTGTTGTGCCTATAGTTCAGTGGCAAACAATTGCCCGATTGGGGGTTCAATCAGCACGAGATGGTGACCGACAAGAATCACAATCAAGAGGACGCCGTTTGGAATGTTGAGGAACACAGATATACCAAGAA